CCGCTCCCGCCCCCCGCCCCCGCCCCTCCACCAGCCATTCACAGTGTGGAAGAGCAGGCGCTCACCGCTCTTCCAAGTCTGCCAAAGCTGAAAGGGCACATCTGTCAGATTGTCCCCGTCCCCCCATGGCAGCTTGGAGCTGTCAAGCTTACCTGAGTGGGAGCTTGCTGTCACCACTTTTGTCTCTACAGTGCCTTTCTTGGGGATGGGGAGTGTGTTGGAGGTGTTCCTGGTGGGACTCGCACTTGCAGATCGGCTCCCCTTAAGCAAACGTTTGACTTCATCGAGTTCTGTCCCTGCGGAAAAACCCCAGAGCTTCCCATCGGGCACTGGACTCTTGCCTGAGTCCAAAAATCAGGGAAGGAATATTGATGGCATTCTGATATCAGAGAAGCTGGCATCTGCCTCATTAGTGGGGACATTTTCCATTAGCTTTATAATTTTTGAATTTTGACAATTTATAGCTCCCATGAATCCGCCAGCTTGTAACCATAACAGCCCCATAAATATAGTGTTTCACACACGGAGCTCAGAGCTCTTGGGAGATATTTCCTCATCAGATCTCATTAGGCACCACAGGGGTGACAATACCTGGAGGACACTGTTGTCTGTGATAGGGCAGCTAGAGAGCTAGGCTCTAAAGAAGCTAGCTAGACAATTGGCTTTCCCCTGAATATGGTGCCTTGGTGACCTGGTATGCCTGCCAGTGTCAAAAGGGATTTGAGGTCTGTTAGCTCCTAAACATTACACTGTGTTCACTGCGTTTCCGTTTCAGGTCCATTTGGCTGGTACTGTTTGTAACAAGGTGAACTTATAGGGTGAATGGGGTCTTTGTGTCCTTTCAGAGTAGTGAACTGGAAGGAAGGGAGCTTTCAGCCAAGGACAATAAGCAGGACACAAGCAGATTGATACAGGTGCTGGGCAATGCCCTACCTCTCTCTCCAGAAAGCTCCATCTTTTGGTATCAATATCTCCAAGCCTGGGAGGACTCAGGTGAGAAGGCTAATTAGACTTGGAGTCAGAGCCCATGACTAGGTCAAGCCCCGCTTGGGGTCCTGAGGTACCTACTCCTTTCACTCCTTGTCTGTGAATCCCACCTAAAAGTCAGGCTCATTCGAAATGTGGCCAAGGAAATGCTAACAAGGACAACAGGGATCTAAAGTTCCCAGTGTCCTGAGACTGGTGAATCTCTGACCGTGGAGATGAAGTTAAACCCTTATTTTTGAGTCCCTAACCTTCTCTAATCTGACTCGGTACAGAACTGCCCTTTGAATGTCTCCAGAGAGCTCATCTGCTGAGCCTAACCCTGGTCCACCCTCCAGCTTCTCTTCAGTCAGCCCCAGTCACAGGAAGGCTTCTCTGGAAGCTGTGGGGGTTGACTGGTTTTCATTTTCTCCATTAGACTTCGAACTACTAAACAGCAACCATGACTCACTCAGTAACTTACTGCAGACCCCTAGCCCAGGGCCACCCACCCCCAAGATCTCAAGAATGTTTGATATTGAGTACACACACACACACACACACACACACACACACACACACACACACACACACACGCGCTTGTGCAGAGCACGTACTTTATCCCCCAATTCCTCATGTTTTATCTGTTTCTGATTTACTCTGAGGGTTTCCTAGGTGCTTTCACCGTAGCAGGATGGTGGCCACTTACATCTGGTGGATGGAGAGGCACTCTGCAGGCGAACTCGAATTTCGCTCTCTATACAAGGGGAGAGAAGAGAAGAGGCCGTCAGTGAAGGACTCTGCTTCACTGTCCTGGACCCCGAGTTCAGAGCAGACTGTGGCTCACTGGGCTACTTGGTGTGTTGCTTCAAAAGGCATGTCCCCTTCTGCACAGCACTTGCCAACTGCACAATGTTGGTACCTGAGACTTAACGAAATCCTAGGCTGAGCAAGGTGGCCCCATGACACTTTATCACCACTTCACTGTCGCCAAGCAGCTTTCTGCCTCTAAAACCTCCCATGTCCACTTAGTCATCTGAACAGGAAGTCGGCAAGTCAGCAGCTTAACAGTGTTAGCTTCAGCTAGAGAGGGGGCGTCTTTTAACCCTCATCCTAAGGCTGTGGGTGGTGCAGAAGCCCCAGCTTAAGCTCCTGATAGTGCACAATGGGCACACAACCTGGTCACAAAGAACGCACTGAGCCTGCAAAAGACTCTGTTCAACGCAGCCTGACTCCCGTGGTCATGCAGGGCTCTGCTAGGGTGGCTTTTCCTAGGGTCTTCCTCTCCTTTATCTTTTCTAGATGATGAGTTTACAAAGCTATCCCTTGCAATAATTTGTAAAAGGGCTTTTGCTTGTCTTGATGTATAAAAACAATCAGGGCACATCTGGGAGGCCGGTAGTGAAGACAGATGTGGCGTCGTCTGTATCCCTGAGATTGCCACTGTGTTTGGGTTCCTGCCTGTGGAGCTTTTTAGGTTGTTCTCAGATGCCCCACCTCCTGTGCTCATGGAGTTTTCCAGGACTCCCTCAGTACTCTAGGTGCCTCAAGCAGATGCGCTGTCTCAGGTATGCGTCTGTGCTTGGCTTCCTGGCTCCTAGCTGCTCAGAGTGAATTGGACCAGATTCAGTAATGGTACTCACCTCGTGTTTGGCTTCGTCCTCTGGTTGCAGAAGATGCTGAGAAAAAGAGAAATGTGGTCTCAGGAACAGAAATGTGGTATAAGAGTTGGCATGCTGAATATTTTGGTCAGTTAGGAATATTTTTACAGTATCTAAATCCAGATGGGGTTTTTTACTGTATAGAAGATGCTAAATAAATGATGCCCAGATGCTGAAGGGCAAATAATGTTTTTGTAACATCTTTATGCAGTTTAGCTGAGCAAATGTTGAGTTAGCTGATGCTTAGAGCATTGTGTCTGAGTTTTGTGTGTGTGTATGTGTTGCATTTGGGCTAGCTGAAAACACTGTCAAATGGGCCAAAAGACAGCTGAATATTTAATTTGTTTATTAAAGCCTGCCTTGGTTTTCCCAATGTAAGCAAATAATAGAAAATTATAATCACTATGTAGCCATTGGTCTTAATGTCAATTCATCTGTACCTTGAGATTCTAAGAATATAGAACTAAGACTTAAGGTCAAGACAAACACTTAAGATCAAGCGCAGCTTAGGGTGGTACAGGTGTGTGAAGTGGCCCTTGGGGGGGAGATAAGGCTTGGGAGGGAGATAAGGAGGAGAATCTGGGATGCACAACGTTTGCTCTCGTGACTGCTGCTCCTCCTTGGTTGCGGGTCTCTGTGAGGCCCTTGGAAAGAAATGTCCCTACAGTTGTTGCTTTGCCTGAGGGGCTTTTGTGTCCTAGCAGGAACCTTGAACACACAGCTTACAATTTTAATAGTGTCGTGAGCAAATACCGATGACAGCAGGTTAACAGGACTGGCGAAGGTGCATGAGATGGGACGAGAAGCAAATCAACAGAAGCCAAACTCTTTGAGAAGAATCCGTTTGGCTCACGGCATCCCCTGCCCAGCACCCCACCACTCAGGCATTTTCTTAGTGTTCCACTGAAGCATTTTGATAGCAAATAAGGAGCGGACTTACCGAGTTCCTTCCGGGGGTACTCAGGGGAGGAGTTGCCACTGGAGCTCCCTGGAGAGCGGATGGAACACATAGTACAAATGGTTACTTACCTCCATGAAACTTCCTAGGGGTGGAGGGGTGCCAGTTACTGCAGTCCCATAGCTGGAAGCGTTTCAGGAGGAAATGGGCTGTTCTCTTAGCAGAATTCCCCCCAAGCAGGGGTCCTCCTGCTGACTTTCCTGTTTCAACTGATGGCAGTCCAGCCTGCATTTGAACCCCCAGTGGCACAGCTGTTTCCAGGTTCTCCTTGCATTTCACATCAGTTGGAAGCCAGCCAATTCTGCCTCTTTTGTCTCACACCTCCTGGCCCCTTCACTGCTAGAAGCCCAGTCCCAGCCTGGATATCTCTCTTCTCAACTATTGAAGATTTTCTTTTAACTTGTCACCTGCCATGGCTTTGTGGGGCTCAAATGTGATGGATTATTGGGCTCAAAACCTCTGTGAACTTCTTACGTGGACACTGAAATCTAATCCTAGCGCAGAATCTGAGCCTCCCAACCCCTCTTTAGCCCTGGACTGTCCTGTCCTTCCATCTGTGAGCACAACCAGGATGCCAAACAAGGCTTAGCACCTCCTCCAGAGTCATCCTTGATTCCCTCGGAGGAAAATAGTAACCTCCTTCTACCCAGTGTTACTTCTCTGCTTCTCTGCTTCTCTCTGCTGCCTTAAATTGTCTATAGACAATAGATAGATAGGGTCCTGGAAGGCATTTCATACAGCGGGCTTCTCTGCTTCTCTCTGCCACCTTAAATCGTCTATAGACAATAGATAGATAGGGTCCTGGAAGGCATTTCATACAGCGGAAAACACGATAATGCGCTAGTTGAGAAGCGACTAAGCGGATGAAAAAATGAATGAGGGATAAACGAAAGCAGGACTAGTCCAATAATTCGAGTCCGTAAGAGCGACCAGGAAGTGAGGAGAGATGGGGTGGAGTGTAGACACGGGAGAAGCCAGGGAGCCGTCATGCGGAGGACGAGCGGAGTTATACCAGGAAGAGAGCAGCTCTCTTCCGCAGATACCTTCGTAAGTTCCATGGCGGGTCATGCGAGTTTTCCTTTCAAAGGTGGAGCCTGGAGAGTTGGGCAGGGTGGAGGCTGGCGAGTGAGCTCTCCTGTAACTGGAGGTGGAAGCGTTGCCCCGGATGCTCCCATCTGCCATTGGGAAACAGTGTAAATCCTCATGATACCACCTCACCAGAGATGCTCCTGCTACGTTGAAACACTATTCTATTAGCCAAATAACCCCCAAGACACTAAGGGAGGGCCCTGAGTGGTGGGTAGGTGACTCCAAGGAACACAGAAAGGGATGGAAGGCAGGATTGCTGCTCCTGCCTTTCGGGCAGACACTGAGAGGTAAGGATGTCCTCATAGGGAGAGTGTGTGGGAGTGGTAAGGATGCCTTAGAGTTAGTTTTCTGGAAGACTTGATGTTGGACCACTCACCCCTTCTCAGAGGGATGAGGGAAGACGCTTCTGAGTGTTACGTTTTTATTTGCTCCACTACATCTTAATGGCTTTCAGGGTTGGTTATGTGAATGTGTTTGTTTTTTGTCATACTTTTGCTGCCTTTTGCTTTCATGTGAAAGATTACCTCACAGGGTCATGGTGTGTGCTTGCCCAACAAAAGACTGCAACTTGGAGCTGCCTGTTATTAGACCAGCGCATCTCAAACTTCCTAACGCTGAGACCCTTTAATATGGTTCCTCATGTTGTGGTGACCCCATAAATTTATTTTCACTGCTACTTACTGACTGTAACTTTGCTATTGGTATGAACTGTCATGTCTGATATGTGACCCCTGGGAAAGGAGTCGCAACCCACAAGTTGAGAACCACCACATTCTAGTTTCTCAGCAGAGCAAATCAGTCTTCACCTTCCGTTCAATGTTAATCTGACTATAGACCTTAAACACGCACAGCCCTTCCTAAATGATACGGCTGAAGTAGACGGATGCCGTGGGAAAGCAACAGTCTCCCCTGGAAGTTAACTGATGAGTGTCGCCTGACCTGGAGACTTAATGGAAATGGAACCCATCTGGTGTAGCTGTCCGATGCTGATGATTTTTTTTTTTTTTTTTTGAGACTGGGTTTCTCTGTGGCTTGGGAGGCTGTCCTGGCACTAGCTGTAGCCCAGGCTGGTCTTGAACTCACAGAGATCCGCCTGCCTCTGCCTCCCGAGTGCTGGGATTAAAGGCATGTGCCACCACTGCCCAGCTGATGCTGATGATTTGAGACCCACACCCTTCCTTGTCATTTGGGTGACTCCTGGGAGCACGTGGAATGAATGACAGACAGGGCAGTGGTCCCCTGCACTGACTTTGGACGGTGGATTTTCTCGTCTATCTCCCTGCCCCTCACCCAGCCAGTAGCCACTCACTTGAGTTGATGTAGCCGCTGCTACCATGAGTCAGGGTCTGTTTCTCTAGCCGACTTCCTCCACCCAGAGAGCCTGTCTTCGCGTAGCCATTGCTGGTGCTCCCTTCTGCAAAAGAGGTGACAGTCAAGATCCAGGCCAGCGGGTCTCCTCATCCTCTGCCTACAGAGCCTTCCCCACATTCTCACCAGGGACCCACTGGTTGGGATCTCCTGTCTACCACACTCCAGATTCCAAGCTGCCCTTTTCCCACTACTTGTTTTCAAAACAGAGGTCAGGAATGGACACCCTGCTCAATGGGAATGAGAGCGTTCTGGTGGAGCACAGAAAGTTATTCCGTTGGAAAAATAGTTGAGACAGCTGAGTGATACGAACCCCTCCCCCCATCCCTGTACCCCAGCATCTCAAATAAAGGTTGGGATTTCTTTTTTCCAATGCCTTATCAGGACCCAGACACAACAGCCACTACAGGGTGGGTGGCTCTGGGTTCCATTTGACTTGCTTCCATCACCCTGCTGTGGCCACAGATGGGTGGGTTCTCCCCATCCCAAAGCCCATGTGGGCTCAGGGGTAGCGTTGGGACTCCATCTCTGCTATTAGAACCCACCAGGAGGATTGACAGCCACTGAAGAGCTCCCCAACAAAAGTGGAATGGAGTCAAGTGGTCAGGGAGGCTAGGATTTCCAGTATTTTACTGACTAGACTAGCCAATCCATAAAGACACAGGCAGATGTGGTCCCTAGAAGCCAGAGAGAGCAGGGGGGTGGGGCATGACTGTGAATAAACCCGGGGGGTTATTGGAGGGAATGATGGCATGCCCTCATTAGACTGAAGCAAGCAGCTGCTGGTACTTCAACAGTGAATCGTGCAACTCAGACTGGTAGCTGTTGTGGTGTATAAATCAACTTCAACATAACTGCTAGCAAAAGGATATATTCCAAGCCAGGCTGTGGGCGCACGCCTTTAATCCCAGTGCTCGGGAGGCAGAGGCAGGTGGAACTCTATGAGTTCGAGGCCAGCTTGATTGACAGACAGAGCTAGTTCCAGAAAATCTTGGGCTTCACAGAGAAATCCTGTCTCAACCCCCATCTCCCACCAAAAAGAGAATACATTCCAGAAAGTTTGGATTTTCTCAGTGGGAAAGTGAACTGCTGTGTTCAAGATCAGCACAGGGCCACTTACTTGGTGGTAAGGATGTGAGTCTTGTAGTTACTGTTTCCGTGATAACTGGAAAAGACAAAGAAAAGAGGGGATACTGTTGCTGGATTTTGGCAGAGCCTGGTGTCTGTCATTGATTAAGTCTATTGTTAGGCTCAACAAAGGTTTTTATGGCTGTGTCTTATGACAAGAAATCTGACCTACTATACATGGAAATACAAACAATAACAATGAGGCTCGATGTACCTAGACTATAAAATTTCTTTTTGGTGCCTGGGTGGATTGAATAAAAATGGCCTCCCACAGGCCCATAGGGAGTGACACTATTAGGCCTTGTTGGAGTAAGTGTGGCATTGTTGAAGAAATTGTGTCACTGGGGGTGGGATTTGAGGTCTCAGATGTTCAAGCCAGGCCCAGTGTGGCATTCTTTTCCTGCTGCCTGGAGATCAAGATGTAGAATTCACAGATACCTCTCCAGCGCCATGTCTGCCTGCATGCTGCCATGCTTCCAACCATGACAACAATGGCCTAACCTCTGAGTTGTAAGAATGTTTTCCTCTATAAGAGTTGCTGTGGTCACGGTGTCTTTTCATAGCATAGAAACCCTAACTAAGATAGTACCACAAGAAGTTACCCACTGATTGGAAGGATGGGTTGTCTTGGCATCAAGACCTCTCACAGGCCACTCCAGTTCAGGCCTAAATTTGAGTTTGAAAGAGGGCCAGCCTCTCTTTTCTTATAGCCACACACTCTATCTCTGCTCTGTTCCTTCCCAGAGACCCCTGGGGCCAACACCCTGACTGGTCTCACTCTGTATGCCCTGATGAAATTGGAGGTGTCTTTAGGATACCGTGTTTCATTCTGGAACTCTCAAGGGCATGCATGGGTGTGGAAGGTATAGAGACGAAAAGCAGCCTGAGTAAGTCACTTTTGGAGGTCAGTGAAATGAGCCTTAAGTGAACCCCAGAGGCAGACTTTGAGGAGCTCCCCACTACACCACCCAGCCCAGAGTTTCTCTAGTGTCCAGTATACGGAGATGCTAATAGCTTCAGGTGTCTGAGAAAAGGGACCTCTTTCCTCAGGAGTTGATCCCCTGAAGTAGCATGAGGTTTGGGTGGATTCCCACAGCCATAGCTGGGCCAACTTTTTGTCTGACTGTGGCCATCAACACGACCTCCTTCACTTTGGGGCCTCATCTGGCTGGGGCCACTGTACGTGTGGGAGTATGCAATGCCACAGTATACATGTGGCAATCAGAGCAACTTGCAGGAGTCGGCTCTTTCCTTCTCCATGTGGGGCCTGGATTTCAGGTTTAAACTGTCTGCAGGTCTACATGCTGGACTGTCTCACGGGCCCTCACTCACCTTTAAAGGAGATTTTTTTGTGTGGCTGTGCACAGGTGTGCAGACGTGGTTGTGTGGAGTGCATGCGTACATGCGTGTGGGAAGAGGGGTGAAAGAGCAGGGTGGAAGGAGATGCCACCGTGTGCCACGTGAAGTCAGCTGTGGCTGTTACAGCAGCCATGCTGTCCACTCTTCCCTGTCCTTCATGGGACGTGTTTCTAATTAGTTCTCCCCCACGCCCAGGAACGAGGGGCTATGAATGCAGGGGACTCAGCACTCAAGACATAAAGGGGAATGGTTTTTCACAGGAAGGTGTCAGCTCTGTTTGAATAATGGCCCTTGAGCTCCCAGTAACCTCTCATTGTACGGACCTTCGGGATTTTTTTGACACATAAAAATAAATTATTTTCTAACCTAAAGTTCTAAGTCCGTGGAGCCAAAATTTTTTTGTTGTTGTTGTTGGAAATCAATGAAAGTCACATGATAAATGAAAAAGTTTCCTAATTTAGAGTTGCTGGAGAGACGGTTTAAATGCCCCTGAATCTATCATTTGGACAGTTCTACAAAGGAAATGCATGGGCTTTCAGGGTTTAGTGTAGATTTGGACTGTGACACCAGTGTTATTTCAACCTAGTCCCTGACATAAGTAAGATATTATACTTTTAGATTTCCATTGTCCTATATCCCTAGGTAGAGAAGAGGTAAATAAAAGAGTTAAACAAACCACAGAGAATCAGGCAGTTATTAAAATTCTACTCAAGGAAACTATATGTAGAAAAGGAAGTCCTTCTCCCTTCCTCCTCCCCTCCCCCTTCCTTCTTTCCTTTCTTCATTTCTCTTTCATGTTCTTGATTCTTGTGCCAGCTAGGCAGGTGGTCTACCACTGAGCCACAGCCCTGGGCCCAGAAACGGGAATTTTCACCCGGAACAAGATGCAGAGCTCCTTTGGTTACAAGCCTATGAAAGTAAAAAGCCAGAAGAGCAATCCTGGGAGAGGGAGTGGAGTCTCTCTGTGAAGACATCTGGAGATGCGTGGTGGGATGAGAGCGGACTATTGACTCTGTTTCCAAAGGAGCTAAAGCGGCTCTGAGTAAAATAAATCCAAACACTCTTACTTCTCTCAGTGACTTCAGTGCCATCTCGCTTGTTTTTCGTGGTCACATCCATCCCATAGCCACCTGCAGGAACAGAAACCATTGCTTTTAGCAAGCCTAGCCCCCGACACACATTCAAGCTAATAACCAAAAATCTGGTTCCTAGCACTCAAAGCCTAACTCCTGTGCATACCTTGTATAGGCACCAGCCCCCATTCTGGCCATTGATTGTAACAGAGAAAATTCAGTATTTCCCCCATACAGTCTACTCCTTTTAGGATCTACTAGGACAGCCTGCCCTTGGCTGAGCATCCAAGGGCTTCAGCAGCCCAGTTACTGACCCTTGGCTAAGTATAGCACCTATGATTTGCTAATGTGATGGATGACTTCAAAGTGTGTGTTGAAGCATTGGTAGTATTGGCTATGTCATTTTGTTGTGCCTTGAAGTGCTGTGTGTTCTAGGGCTGGGGGATGGCTCCACGAATTAAATGCTGGTGAGACAAACTGAAGGACCAGAGGTTAGATTCCCTAGACCCCTTTTAAAAGCCAGGCAGGCATGGTGGCTGTTTGTAAGCCCAGCACATGAGAGGCAGAGACAGGGGATCCCTAGGGCAAGCTGACTCATTAGAGTAGCTAGAATTGGCGAGCTGAGGGTTAAGCAAGGGACCCTGTTGGATAAATATGGTGGAAAGTGATGGAGGAAGACACCTGTTGGCAACTTTAGGCCTCCACACACATCTGTACACACTCACATTCGAGCATTCATACACAAAAGAAAAAACAAATTACCGAAAAACAGCATTCTGTGTTCTAGGAGGAACTCTGAATATAAGCCTCCATGCTGGGTCAGAGTTTGGATGTGAGAACCATGCTTGGTGGATAAAAGCCACATTCTATACTTGCTTAGATCTTTAGTCTGCTCAGTGTGAAATGTTCTCTTCATAGCAGACTAGTCCCAGAGACTTGCATGCAGACACAAGCAGGAAAACGCATGCGAACCAGCAGCCTCACCTCTTACTCTGCTTTGGAGAGAAAAAGCTCTGGGATGCTGTGTCCCTAGGCACAGGAGGCACAGGCAGGGCTGGCAGGTGTGGTGATGGACAAGGGGCTGAGGCTCACATTAAGGAACGGACAGGAAGGGTTCCCATCCCAACTGGGCTCTTCTTGCCATGGTGCTCAGCACCAGCTTGTGGGAGGACTGGACACCAGGCTTTTCCCCATGCCTCTCTTCTTCTGCCCACCTTCCCTTCCTCAGCTTTATCTTTTGGTGCAGTGCTGTCTAGGTTGTAGGATCGGAGCCATTTCTGCCCAACTGTTTCTTGCAAAGCATTGTCCTGCAGGCTTCACCCGCCTTATAGCTTCATGCTGCCTTACTGCTTTGGCACGGGGGACAGTGGACCACATCTATGACACGCTTTCTTGTTTTTTGTTTTTTTTTTTTTTGTTTTTTTTTTTTTAAATTTTGTGGGTGGTATTTTGTCTGTATATATGTCTGTGTGCCACATGCATGCCTGGTGCCTGGTCAGAAGAGGGCATTAGATCCCATGGAACTGGAGTTACAGATGGTTGTGAGCTGCTATGTGGGTGCTGGGAATCAAACCTGGAACCTCTGGAAGAGCAGCCAGTGATCTTAACTGATGAACTGTCTTTCCAGCCCCACAAAATGGTTTTGGTTTGTTTGTGGTGTGTGTGTGTGTGTGTGTGTGTGTGTGTGTGTGTGTGTGTGTGGGTGTGTGTGGGTGGTGTGTGGTGCTTGTGTGTGTGGTGTTGAGAAGGAACCATAGGGTTATTTTAATTTTTTTAAAATCAGAAGGGAAATAAATATACTTTAATCTAGATTATATTTTTCTTAGGAGGGTTTTTGTTTTGTTTGTAATAGAGGATGGAACCCACACAGACAAAAATGTTGAAGATTCATCAGTGTAAGTCATAATGAAGCCTCAGGTGACTTCCTTGATGAGACCATGACAAAATAAGACCAGCTCAGCCATCTGGTGGTATTAGCCAAAACTGGCGAGAGTTTGCTTCAGGGCCTGGCTGAATGTGCCAACTCCTTGTCCATTGGTGTTTCTTAAATCTAGCTCTAGACAAGGAATGTGGCATCATGGAAAAAATTTAGCTGCATCTGATTGTCTTTACAAGTGTGTTTCCTGGGGCTAAGAGGAACGGCTCCAAAAACAGCTTAGTAAGGGAATCTAGCCTCATTAAAGGCCAAACTTGGCTGGTTTCCATTTCGGAAGCCTGGCTGTGACCTGTAGGATTGTGTATGCCAGTCTGTGTGAAGCTGGACACCCTCTTTGAAATCCTTAGTTTAAGAATTAATCATCTTAGGACTTCTGACATCCTCCACTGGGTCATTATCACTCTTCTTCTTCAAACTGACCATTACCATGAGCCAGGAGGAATTTGAGGAGATTAAACATTTTGCTACACTTGGGTGCTGGTTGGGGCAGTGATTGTCTAGAATGGTACTCAATCAATAGGCAATATTACTCTGAAATCACTGTCTAGTATAATGTCTGAATCTCTTACCATCTGAGGTATCATTTTTGATACCTCTACAAGTGGGACTGATGGGACAGACTGAGGGCAGGTGGGTGACAGCTCTGTAAGAGTCTGGTCTCCAGAGAACCAATGGCCCGATTCTGCTGGGTTTTCTGTACCCAGGACAGTAACAGGCATTCCTAGGCCCCTTGTCTTCTCCCTGAATTCTAATGATGACCCTCCTGTTCCTATGGCAAAAAGCCACAGGCTCCCAGCTTCCAGAAGGCACAAAGAGACAGCTTGCTATAAAGGCAGACGCCTTTGTGTGGCTTCCTGACTTTTGTGACTTTGAGCCATTTCTTAGCACTTCCTGTGAGTTCCTTAGAAGCAGTGCCCTGTGGTAGGCACAGACCTGGGCTAGGATTGTACCATGGGAGAGAGAGGCTTTTGTCACAGAACTCTGTCTGAAGCATTTCAAGAGCTTTCTCTCTCTGTCTCTGTCTCTGTCTCTGTCTCTCTCTCTCTCTCTCTGTGTCTTTCTCTCCCTCTCTGTGTCTTTCTCTCCCTCCCTCCCTCCCTCCCTCCCTTCCTTTTTTTTTGGGGGAAAAGAAAATTTGGCCGGGTTCATGCCTGAGCCTGCCATTGCTGGCAGTCCTTGGCTGTGCTCTGGAGTTCCCAAAGTACAGCTCCATGGGAGCTTTGTCCTCTAACATAACTCTTAACTTCCTAGGTGTTCGGGCTATGTCACTAGCATCAAGGAAGAGTTCTTAAGTTAATTTCAAAGTTATACTGATTTCCATCTGAGGTCCCCCCCCATATTTGTTTGTTTTTATTTATTTATTTTGAGACAAGGTCTCATTATTGTAGCCTTGGCTGGCCTGGAATTTGCCATGCAGTCCAGGCTGGCTTTGAACTCACAGAGATCTACCTGCCTTTTGCTTCCTGAGTGCTGGGATTAGAGGCGTGCGCCACCATGCCTGGCTCTCAAATTTAGTTTCAAGTCAGACTGAAAAGACTAAATTCACATAAATATGCAACGATCCCATCAAGGTAAATAACAGTCCATCTCCATAAACCATCGTCTGTTTTTCTGAGCATTGCTACCTACAAACCTTCCTTCTAGTTGTTTACAAAATAACTAACAAATCGCTGACAACTCTGGTTAGCCCCTTGAGCTGTGGGACACCTGACGATATGGTAACTGTTAAGCAGCCCCTGTCTCTTCTCATCCCCCTGGATTCCCTCGGCCTCCAGTAATCACCATTCTCACTCCTGCTGTGAGGCCAACCTTTCTAGCTGCTCGGTGAGAACATGCTTTATAGTTATTGCATGGATAATGCTTTTTTTTTTTTTTAACATCCAAACAACCCTACGTGACTTCCTTGTTTGAAGGCAAAATCTGAAAACAGTTTTCTACTTTGAAGAGTATTTTTTTCTCTCTACACTTTACTTGAATGGTGTCACATACACTTACAACTATTCAGACAGGGTGTGTGCTAATGAACACACAGGTAAGCGCTGACCACTGTCAGTGTGACAGCAAACCATGGCCTTGACCTTATCTTCTAATGACCCATAAAACATCTCTTCTTGATACTGAGGAGAGAATGATGAGGGTGAACATTTTAATTTCTAGCTTTTAATCTTAGGAATAAAAGATCCTATATCCTGCTAAAGAACCAAAGTATTTTTCAGCTTTCTGTTACTCCAATCTCTGTAGACTTTACATTTGGAAATAAAGAAACATCGAAAGTGCTACAGAAGGAGGAAACCATGCTTTGGCCATTTATCTGACAGCATACAGGAACCAAGCAGATTGAAGGCAAGGGACGCCCTGGAGCTTGTGGCGTGGGGTCACGTCCTAGGCAGTGCTGTGAGTTTGCTCCCTAGTGCATTTGGTTACCTTAGACTTTCATGACCACAGCTAAAACATCATCTTGTGATTATGCCTGCTCATTGGCCACTGTAGCATTGCCAACAGACTTCTTTCCACTGGTTGCAATCTAACTGTGTTTGGTAACTTGCTAGTCCTGATCCGTTTCCTGATCAAAGGGGTTTCTGTGCAGATTTAAAGCAGGGCTTTTCACTGTATCTGACTGTGTGTATTCTGCTCTGACTCCTGTGAGATTTTGCAGGGCCTAAGAGCAAGGCAGACCCCTAATTATTTGAGGGCATCCATCAACAGATGGACATGTGTTAGTTTTTACTCAAGTTCCTGCCTCAGCTCCAAGAGTGGACACAGAGGAGGGAAAAAACAGTCCCAGGTTTCCAAAAAATACCCTTAAAAACTTTGCCTCATTTTGAGGCCATAACAGTTCTAAACTTTAGACTGTGGAGTTACCACTTCTAGCAAGAAGTGAGATGGCAGAGGCTTGCCCGGCTTTCAGAAGTGAAGGGACAGAGTTCTAGTTACTACAACCGTGGTCTAGTTAGACCTAAACTGGTAAGTCTAAATCCAAAGTGATTTTTCTGGGAGGAGGGGAAAGAGAGGCCAAATTAGCCAGTGACAGCGTATACATAGAAAGTGCTCTCTCTCTCTCTCTCTTTCTCTCTCTCTCTCTCTCTCCTCTCCCCCTTCCATTTTGACTC